AAATAACCAAATGAAAAAGAAAGTTTACAGTGAGATAATTTCCCCAGTATGTCCATCTAACTTTCCAGTGCTGATAGTCCAGGACTTCCTAAAGCAGCTGTGTCCTTGCATTTAAAAACCCTTCTGTGAATCCACAGTCTGCAGCAATGAGTTCCATAAGTGAAGTATATAACATGTGAAAGAGTATTTTCCTGTGCTACTTTCAAACTTCCTGCCAAGTAATCAAGTAATTTTAATTTCTGTTTGGTACTAAGTCATGACTTATGAGCTTATGAAAAATAACAGTACTATACCTTTATAGTGCCAGTCACCCTTTTCTGTGCTTCTGCAAATTCTGTTGTGACCTTTTTGAGATGAAGCATTCAAAAGGCAAATATCTTTTTGATGTATAGATTTGAGCATAGTTATTTCCATAAAAGCAATGAAAGAATTTGTCTCTCGGACAAAACTGCAACTATAATAGTGAAATGCAGTATGGCAGCTACTTGTGGGTTTTGGTTTACAAGGTGCAACTCAACTGGCACAGGTGAAGCACCTGGAAGCCAGAACCTCACTGCGCTGGCTGCTATACAAGCACTGAACAAAAACCACTTCCCCAGCCAATTTAATTATATAACTGGAGACACAGAGGTGAATAAATGCATATAAAAGGAAGGTAAAGAGGAGAAGATAAATTTGGCATCAAAACATGTCATCTGTTCAAAGGAGTGTTTCATGATTTTCAAAACTGGAATTGCTATGTGAGTAACATTTGAAATTAACAGTCTGCTTTAGGAAAAAAAAAATTAGTGATTCAAGGCTAAAACAAACAAGCTTAAACTTGATGCAATATTAATAATCCAATCAGATATTTGTATCTGGGGGAGGAACAGAGCTCAAGGTCTTGCAAACTACAAACAAAGAGAAGAGATAGTGCTGCAGGGACTTCTTTTTTTTTTAATGTTGTATTTGTTATACTTCTTGAACACAAAGAACTGTGTCGTCATTTCTCAGCATACCTTTAGCTTTCATTTACTTTTCACACGTCCCAGCACAATCTCCCCCCCGCTGTCTATCACTTGTGGCTCAGGTGAACTTCTTTTACATTGTACAGCATCTGACCCTGTTAATGCTGGTACCAAATCTCCTGCTCCAAGCTGTGCTTAGAAAGGAACTCTTCTTAGATTACCACCAGTTCCTCCTACACATGTATTTTTTAAATATCCAGCACTTGTGCTGATTGTGCTTTCACTGGTTGTCTACGAGCTGTACTCCAATGGTGAAGCAGCCTGCTCTCCAAATCATCCCAGAGGAACAACTTATCTTCCTCATGTTCTAACTGATAATTATTTCCCAGGTATGGAGAAAACCTTCTTTCACTGTTAGCGCCTAAACTTCCTCCTTTTATCAATGAAATGTATCAATGTCAGCCAAAACTATAAACTTAGGAAAAACAACAAATCTCGAATACATGCCACAGAGTTTCCCCAAGGCAAACCTACCCTCTTACAATGCCTTGCGGCCACAGAGGTGCAGTTCTTTAGTATAGGAAGGCTGTTGGTTTTCTCCTCCTCGACACCCGAATCCTGGTTACATGTCAGGTACAGTGAAATAAAAATCTGGAGACACTGGCTACTGCCGTGCCTCCACGTGGCTCAATTTGTGCTGCTGTTTACTCTGTGGCACAGCTGGCTAGCAAGGGCAAAGGGCTGGTTGAGGACAGACGCTGACAACCATTTGCTATTAGGTATTACCATTAATGGCTTGGATGACGGAATAGGTGGCACACTTCTTAAACTGATAAATGAGAAGAGCCTGGAAGGTATACTAGCATGCTGGCAGATGGGGGCTAGAATTCAAAATTTTCTTACTGCCCAAAAATAAATTATGTGCAGCTTCAGTGATGCAAAGTGTAGTTCTTTGAACTTCAGCTGTGGCAACCAAACTAGCAAACAAGAAATTGTTTAGAAATTATCTGGATATTTCAGCTATCAAAAAATAACACGTTAAGCAACAAAAGGAAAAACTGTGAAAAGAGCAAATTTTATATGGGAAATTTTCCACATGGCGTAGAAACCCTACTTTCCACCCAACATCAGAAAGGATGTGTCTGTTGTATTGTGTCCTGGGGACCACTCTTCCAGGAAGATGAAGACTACTTGGAAAGAGCTCAGAAGAGAATGTCAAGAATAACAAACGTCTGGTGTAAAAAAATATGGCCCATTAACAGAGATGGAAAGAATTATGCTTGACCTGTATAACCAGCAGAAGACTGGGGGGGAAAGTGATAAATATTTTTCCTTCAAAGGGAAGAACAATAAACAATTTTCTATATACAGAGGGATGGGAAAAGGAGTAACCAGTTTAAATTATGGCAAATTAAGACAGACATCAGAAAACAAAAAAATAAACACATTTCTAATATCTGCAGAGCACTAAAAAACACTGATGAGAGCTTGTAATTTCTCCAGCCACAGCTGATTCTGCCTCGATGCGGAGAGACAGGCCCAATGAGTCCTCAAAGTCTCTTTGAGCCTGTTTTTCTGCGGGGCCCCTCCATTGCTGAATCCACTGGCACACTCGCTTCAGAGGAAGGAGCAAGACAGATGCTTGCATTTACAATTAGTTACCATTTTTCACGTATCCCAGCATTTGTCATGAAATGGCAATGACAATTCATTGTAACAGTCCAGATGGTGGTTGCTTCTTTTTTTTCCTGCTCCGTTGTTCCTTTTTTTTACCAATATTTTTGTATGAATGGAATATAAGTGTTTGCAGTCCTCTATATTAGCAAGTGCATTACTTGTTCTGTCTTAAAAGGAGATCATATTTGAGAGGGTTTTGCTAAAAAAAGAGAGCAGGCAAAACATTATAAGAAGCATAAATGTCTATAAAGCACTTAACCTCATACAATGAAACAGAATTTGGAAGAAAAGACTTCAACAATTTCTGGGAAAAAATTATCCAACGAAAGCTAAATATGCACTGAATATATATTTGTGTGTGTATGTATCTATTTTCTCTCAGCAGCCCATAAGAATTCTTGCAAGACATTTTGCTGCAACTAGACTATGAAGAAAAACTTTATCAAAAACAAATTATCTATTTGTCTCAGCACACAGCTATGCAGTTACACAGGCTGCAGCATTTTTTTTTAATTTATCACTGTAAGAGAAGAAATGAACAGCAGTGAAACTGACTTCAAACAAGTTTTTGAGTACAAAATTTACAATATGTACGAGTACAAAAAATGTCATCTCTGTCATCAGTTGGTTTTCCTAAACTTTACTACATGAAATATTAGGGAATGTGCTGTTTAGATAACCAGATACGCACTGCAAGAAGAGAGTGGTTAAATCAAGCTCCCCGTGACCAGCTTGTAATCAGAAAGCAATTTGCACAAGCTATTTGGGAAAGCTGAATAAAAGATGGTTGATTCTTGCCCCCAAGTGTTTGCTTAAGAATTAATGCAAAACAACCATAAAAGTAAGAAAATGTTATAAATTAATTTCTTTTGTAAAACACAACCAGAGAACATAAGCCATGTTCATCTAAAGTTTTCGATAAGCATAAAGACTCTTTGTAAGACAACAACTCCTAGAATTTTTTATTCTTAAAAAACAGTAAGATGAATCATATTTGCTGTGTAGAGAGTAACTTGCAGTTTGTACTTATTAATCATATGCACATAACAGTATAAAAGACCAACATAATTTTCTTTAAGAACTCAAGCAACTCAAACAAGAGGCGTTGTCTGGGTACTGTGAATTAGAGTGGTTTCCATTAACAGGGCTCAACGGATCTGCAAACAACTGCTTGGCAGTGCATTAGGTATGGCTGAGTTACATACAGATGCTGAAAACCAGTGTGCTGTTAAGTGCTTCGCTGCTTGAGTGAACGCGCGTGCTGTGCAAAGCTTGCGCAGGCAGAGAGCCTCATTGGTGGGGCAAAAGTGACAAACGGAGCAGGGGTTTCCGAGAAGCTGAGGGCAGAAATCTTCTGCTTGGCACGTGGGAACGACTCAGTGGAGTTCAGCATTTTACCTTGCAGCTCGTAGCTTGAGCAATACGGCCAGAAAACTGTTGGCAAACAACTAGATGGTGAGGCGCGGTGGGGCCGAGCCGACACATCTGATAACCCAAGAGCACCGTGGGCAATCAACTGGATTGATCAACATCACCAAGGGAGTGAATGAAAGAAGCAGTAGCCATTCCCACCCCCTGCAGATCAGAGAGGAAATGTGAAGGAGGGGCTTTTTTTATTATTTCCTAAAGCATTAATCAAGCCCATCCCAGGCATGAATTTTCTAGTATTTTCTATTGCCTTTCATTAGGTGCTCAGTTCTTTCCTTGAAACAAATTTGAAACAAGATCATACCACACATCTCAGACAAAAGCAGTGTCTGTCCTTTCTCATAAGGAGTTACTAGAATAATTGACTCCGCATGTGTTTTCATCCTCACCCACAGGGTTAATTATCTGGAATAACAGCTCATTTTTGCTAAAGCCCACAAGGACATGAAATCTGGAGTGGAGATGGTTATGAAGACAGATATTCAAAGTGTGGATGAAGTGCATGCTGTTGCTGGTGGGAACCCAGCAGCATACATTTATTGCCCTCCAGACCAGGAAGGGCTCCTTATCTACTTAAAGAGAATCTATTCAGTTCCGAGCAGCAAAGATGACTGGTCTTTCTAAAGTAAAAGGAAAAATTATGAAAGTAATTTGTAAGTTGATGAAACACACAAGACAAGCCTGCACTTCTACTATTTTAGTATAATGTACTTGAAATATATATAAATACGTACATCTGATCCTGTCATAAAGCTAATCTCTTTTACATTGCAGACCATGTTATTAAAGGCAAAACATAGCAACCTTGGCAGGTAAATTGTCCAGTGTTATGTGTCATCAAGTATCACCTCCCATTTAGTTTTCTATAAAAGCCATTACCTAGCAATGATCCCAGTGATAAGGCAGCCTACTTACCCATTCGTTCCTTGCTGAAATAAGCACAGCCTCATGGACCAGCTTGGGAGATTCATTCAACTGGATGCTAAAGGTATGTGCCTACATATATTAGACTGCTTTACCAAGAGTTTTAGTTACATTTTGGTAGTTTTTTTCAGGATCGACAGCCAAAATGAGAAAATTTGTTTCCTTTCTCTTGTAACCTTGTACAAAAATAGCAGCAGTGTGCATTTTCAAGATACAAAGAAGAAGGGAGAGATGAAAAAAGCTTGTAGAATAAAACTGTACACTGAACAAGTAAGAAAAAGTCTCTAGTTATTGGTCCTTTATACATTTAGAATAAAGCTAACACAGTTTTAATCAGGCAATTACTTCTCTGAATGATAACATATTTTAATGTTTTTTAGATTAAGGCAAAAAGGTAATCACAAATCTATCTAGACTGAATAATCCTTGCAAAGGGGCTGCATATAACGTAGTAGGCATGGTGGTGTTGGGTTGATGGTTGGGCTTGATGATCTTAGTGGTCTTTTCCAACCTTAATGATTCTAAAATAACTCCTTCCAGTTAAGAGGTCTGTCAAAAGCTGAGCTATCTTTCTAAAAGTTGTTATTTTTTAATATGTTCATTAATGAGAATTCAATCACAATTAAATATTAGAAATGTAAAAATAAAAATGTTATACCTTATTTCTGCTATGCAAGACCTTAACTTCCAGTTCTTCCTTCTTGGTCATATTACCATCTTTTTCCTCACTAGATCAAAGGGCTTATTATTATCTATCAGTTTTCTATACAAAAAGTTTTAGATTGTGAAAAATTACCTGCCGACTAAAGTTTAAAAAAAAGCCAAAAAAACCTTTACATTCAACTTACAGCGTCAACATTAAAGACAATGTGAATTTCTGAGGTTTTTATATTAGCTCAAAACAGTATGTCCTTGGCCATGTATCCCTGGTTATATATGCAGGGAAGTCATTTCTCCTTTAACAATATTGACTGGAAAATCAGGTTTATCTGACTAATCATGCTGGTTCTTGGAAATTCTCCAGTAATCAGTGTTTCCTGAGGCAAAGCATCCACAGCCCATCCTGAACGTATGAGCTACCTTAGTAGCTCTACATTTCTTCTACATTTGGCTCCAAACATGTGGTTTGCTCCTGGACCTGGATTCCTCTCATTTAGTTACCTCCTTGCTTTTTTACTTATCTATCCATTAATCGTTGGATCTTGTACATTGTTTTTATTCACATCTTTAACAAAAATATTTTTTATTTTAGTGCCTACATGAAATGATATCTGAAAGTAGAGTAAGGATTCTTAAAGACACTCATCTATTAGTGCTAATTCCTCTGGTGAAAGACAGGAATGAAAGCAGTAGTACGATATTAGATAATCTTACGCACCAGCAGCAGAACTTTCACAATCAGATAAAACATTATGTAGACTTACTGTACTTGCTGCGCACAAGAGCTGAAATACTGTTTAATTACATATTTGCATAGATCATAAGTTACACTTCTGCTGATTAAGCTAACTAGTGATTTTTGCTGGCAATGGACTTTTATGTAGGGATACACTCTCAGTCTCTTACCTAGCACAGCGTGGACAGGAGGAATAAACACACACAGTGCACTCCCTGGAGAAAAGGGTCTGACCTGCTTGTGGTCTCGTGCTAGAGTCTATGGGCAGCAGATGCAGACACATGCCAGGAATGCACTTTGTTCTGCTGTTACACCGGGAACACACAAAATGCTTGTCTCGCTGCACGTACACTGGTGAGAGAGCGGCCTACAGATGCCACCTATCGCAGATGCAGCAAACCCAGAACTCCACTCCAATCCACAGCTATGTACAAAAGCACACGTGGCTGAACAGCTTTGCAGCGGGACCCAACAGTCACCAGAGCTAGGAGAGAAACTTTTGAACAGTTTTCCAACAGAATACTGTTGGATGATAAAAAGGGGTCACAGTAAATTATACCGATATTGATCAAGGTTCTTACACAGACCTTTAAAGAACAACATGAAGTAAATGCTTTCCCTTCAGAAACATTTTGAAATCCAGCACCACCTGGGATTTCATTATCACAGTCCAGAGACTGAGCAGAGACCAAAGCAACATCCCAGAGTGCTGATGTGGTCATGATAGCTTTGGCAGATGACTCTTGCAGCTCTTTGTTTCTTTGCCCAACTGTAATAGCCTCAAGTAAATCAGTCTTACGAAGGGTATATTCTCTTCCTACAACACATGCCACATTATTCAATCTATTTTTTGGTTAAAAAATGTAATTAGAGAAGCATTTAATTGGTGTTAAACACTGATCCAAATAATTTATTTTCAGGTCCTAATTATTTTTGCCTCACAAACTTTCTTTGATTTACTGTGCTTATGGACTTTTGAAATGACAGAATAAAGTAGCAGATAACAATCTGTAAACGAAGCACTTTGCAAAGACACTGGTCCATTTATGACTAGATACAGGAAAGGTCCTATTAAGTTTCCCTCATTTGGATGTTTTGAGAACACTCTGTTGAAATCCATGCTCAAAAGATCATTCAGCAACAAGCATAAGAAAATTACACTTCCAGGTATTGATTATATTCATTACTGTTATAGCTCTTAGCCTTAGAAATTTAAATGTTGGCTTTTTTTTTTTTAAATGTCAGTTTGTAGAAACCATGGGGTAAATGAAAACTAAAAACATTCCTATTTCAACATTATGGAATCAGACCAGTACAAACCTAACGAAAAGAGAGTAGATTTCCTTTTGAGCCTGTAAACTTTCAAGTTTTATCCATAAATTTTAACAACAAAAGGGTGAGACTCCCTTTCTTATAATTCCGTATCATTCTCCTTTTACCTTATTTCTCAGAGCAAAGACCAGGCCTTTAATGGGATACTACTGTAAGAATCAGCTGCTTAGCTTTTTACAGTAGGTTCACAGCAATCCATTGTTTTAGATCACCAAAGTATGTCAAAACCCAACCTTTTCCATAGAAGTGGAACTATCATTTGACATTAATGTGCTTAAAAATGTACGTGCTTAAAATATTGCAAGGTATTATCTGTTCTCAGGCAGCACTGAGCTAACCTCTGAGCACAAAATTCTTCCAGGGCTCTAGAGCTCTAGACCATGCTCAGAAGCAAGCTCACTACGTAAAGAGAGAATTTACAATTAGAGAGAAATTTTACAATTGCTTTCCAGTATCATAATTACATGGTTGTCCTTTCTCAGGTGCCATTTAAATGCTAATTTGAAACTAAAGTGTGTTTGCTGTGTTCACTATTAAGGAATATTGAAAAAGATACGATTGTACTTAACAAAGAAACTGCTGGAAGACAGAAGGAAGTATCATCAGGAGTTTGCCTCATCCACCTCATTTCATGGAGTGCAAAATATTGTCCAAACACGGAGCAAGACTCGCAAAGTGCTGTGGTTGTTAGTCGTGGTGGGCTGTCTTGCCGTTGTTATCTGGCAAATCTGCAGTCGCTTCATCTACTACTTCAGCTGGCCAACCACAACCACGGTGGTGGTGCAGTATATGGAAAATGTCAAATTCCCTGCTGTGACTTTTTGCAACTTGAACAGGTAAAAGTTATGTTTGTTGTTCACTCTTGAGAGGCAACACCTCTTCATCTGAATAATATCAAGCAGTCAGATTCCACAACTTGTTTGAACAAATTACATAAAACAAGGGGAATATGGCTCTGAGGGTCATGCCTTCCACACCACCACATAAAATTTAAATGAGGAAAATAGAAGAATCAAGGAAGTGAGGTAGTTGGGGTTTTTTCAGTCTTTCCCCTCCTTCAGATGAACGATTGCACTACAGATTTTTAATTTTCAAAGTATAAGTTGGAGTAGAAAAATCTCTCTGGTGCTGTTCTTCTGAGTGTTGCTTCTACAGCGTAACTAAGGGACAGTCATCAGTCATATCCAAGTTAAAAATAAAAGACAAGATTTGCAAATAGATTCAAATAGAAACCTCAAAGAATTGTAGAAATTCTAGGCAAAGCAGATAATTTTTTTTTTTAGAGGTGCTCAGCCTTTACAGCTCCAGCTGATGTTAGTGGGATCTGCAGGAGGTAAGCAGTGGGGTTTTTTTGGAAGTCGTGTATCTAAGCAGGAACTTCACTACAGATTTCTACATTTCAAGCTAATGGCTAAGATTCAGATGCAGTCACTTTGAAAATAATGTAATAAACCTACAGCCCCATTTTTAAAGCAAAAATGTAATTTAGGAACGGTTCTAGAAATACAGAAAGTTCACCCAGATTTTTTCCTCAAGAATTGTAAGTTTTCTTATCTTCTACCTTTGCTGGCAGAATCGGCCAGAAGCACAAGTCTCAAATATCTGCCTTGCTGCGCCTATTGCATCGCCCTGCATAGAGCCACCCCGGGTTATACTGCGCAACGTGCACTGCATGTAGAAGTCCCTCTTGATCACAGCAGGCCGTGTATTACCAAAATCTCTCACTCCTTCTAACTATAGCTGCAGCACATTGTAAGTGAATAGTCAGCCACTGAGCAGGCAGTTGTCTGCCTAAGCGACAGTTTGCTGCCACATCCATCTGTTGTTCATGCTGTGCTTATCCTTCTCTCCTGTTTTTAGTAACCAGTTATTTTGTTGGCTTGACAGAGGTACAGATCTACACTTCTTTTTGTCTTCTGACTCAAATTCAGATGTGAAGAGTTGTTCCTACCAATCTTCCTTAAGTTTGGGTATTAAGATCTATTATACAACTACAGTGATATGTTTTTAAAATAGGATTACAGAAAATGGCATTTTGAAAGAACATGTTATTGCAGTTTCATTTGGTTTTATTCTCTTTTCAAACTTATAACTGTTCTGTGAACCCTTACTTTACTTCAAGGACTTCAGTGCTGTACATGAGGAAAGCACGTCCACCACCAATGTGTTCGAGATTTCCAAGTGGATTCTAGGAGTAAGGACCACCCTTGTTTTACACCCCTGTGTCACCAGCCATAGAGCTCATGAGAAGGTAGATTGTCTGTACTCTGGGGTGTAGTGCCTTAGTAAAGCAGGTGCAGGAGATTATTGCACATAGAAATAAATTTTCTAAATTATAGAAGACATCTTTTTTGAAAGGAACAGCTCCTCCCAGCCAGTCTCCCACATGTAAATGCAATTGTGCAGCTTGTCATTGCTTCTGTGAATCTGGTGGTTGGTTTACGCAGGTGGCTAATCTGCTCTCTTTGTTTTTTATAAACAACCACACAAAATAGAAATGTTTCTAACACAACTGACCAGAATAGCCCTGGGAAGGTGTCCATTTTCTGTTTTCAGGTATGGAAAATACTTCCATAGAATTGGGGACTATATTGTTTATTCATGTTGCAAAGATCAAAGTGCAACGTGGTGGGCAAGAATCACTGATAGTTTGTGAGCAGACATCAAATCGTGCAACAGATTTGGCAAGAGCAGCCTTGAGATCAGTCCTATAACTCTCCAGAACTCCAAACAATTCTTTCTCCTTCCCATTGACAGGTTTCAAGCTCACGCAGTAAGCAACCTCAAAATCATTTTTTTCATTTGGAACATGGTTTATGGAGCTCTCCCAAAATTTCCTATGGAAGATAAATATTCTCAAGAGCTAAATGATTTCCTTCTTGGGAACCAGAACTTCAGCATCAAAGAGTTTACAAGGAAAAATGGGTTTTATCTGAACAGCAGCACATTGATAGAATGTGAATTTTTTGGAAAGCCATGTTACCCCCAGGTAAATACGTTTATTTTATTAAAACCGTAGCATGAAGGGGTAGGGCATATATCCTTACCACTCAGCTTGAGACATCTACTTTTGCCAGCTATTCCCCATTTTCCCTTTACAGTCAACCAACGGAGATAAAAAGTCCTGCTCTAAATCACTCTGAGCACCCTGCTTCTCCCACTGACTGCAGAGACAGCCTGCTGGACTCCCTGAGCTGTAAAATGGGATTTCAGCCTGAATGCTCTCTGCCTAGTACCACTTCTGCATAGATAGCAGCCTTTGAAAGCTGTCATACCTCCAGGCTGTATCTAACAACCTTCTCCATAAATGGCCTATAATGAAGGTCAGTTTGAATGGAGTTTTTTGCAGGACATGATTGCATAGTTTTGTTCTTGAGGTCAAAAGTATAAGACAGCCAGGGTAACTATATACAGAGCCCACAGGAATTTTAAATAATCAGATTAAAATAGCCCATCTTTGGGAATTTTGGACAACAGCCATAGAATATGATAGTTGCATTTTTATGTTGATTCCTCCATAGAGCAATTCCCGACTTAAATAGAAAACACGAACAGAAAAGTCAGGCCTACATTCTTTCAAACAAATCTTACCTTTAGATATGCAATACCTTCTAAAATTAAACATTGGGGAGCTCTTTTAACTGAAAGACACTAGTGCTAATAACTAAAATGAAAGCAATGAGATGCAGTCATACTAGCAAATGTTTTCAGTTAAATGATGAGATAGCTTTGGGAAAAAAATGCAAATATTGTACTTTCATAAGTAACAAAATTTAGTTTTGAAACAGTCTTGACTAAACATTTACTGGAAAAATTAAACAAGTTGGTTTTGAATTTCTATAGAATGTAATAGGTGTAGAAAACCAAGACGACCTCATTAAATGTTTCTGAGTTCATAGGTATTAATAACCAACGTGAAATTTCTCCTTTAAACTTCATTTTCTAGAGAAAGGGATGAAATCCTATTGAATATTTCCATCAATTACCACTTTTCTGATTGTAATCTTTAGCCCCACCTTTGGGGAAGAAAACCCAACAACCAGTCGTCCATCTCTTGCATTGTGACTCACTAATGAAACTTCAAGTGATCGTTCTTCCCTATTTTCCTTTATTGAAGGATTTTGAACATGTTTTCACTGAATATGGAAATTGCTTTACTTTTAATCATAATGATCTTCCAGCAAGAAGAGTGAGCTTGTCTGGAAGAGGCTTACATTTACTTTTCGATGTCCAACAGGTACAGCTATCCTAATGATTATAAACAACTAATCATATAATAACTTACAGATGAGTAGAGCTGTCTTGTTTGGGGGCTGGTTTTTTGTTTGGTTGGTTTTACACAGACCTTCAGAATTTCATGCACCAAATTCTGTATCAAGACTATCGATGAGTGGGAGGGTATTTTAACGGAAGGATCTAATGCAGATTTGAAAAATCAGAAGTAGTGTTGACTCTGGTCTCAGCTAAAAGGTTCTGAAAGTTGTGAGTGAGCGTACACATGTATATATACACAATTACCTAGAATTGAAACACACCATCAGAGCAATAATTTAATTTTATGCAAGCATTTCAGAATAAAATAATTTCATTTTAATAAAAGGCATAGTAGGGAAGGTCATATGGTGCCAGTTTCTATGTAGTACTGGATTTTAGTTGCAGTAGCGGTAGCTACAAGTGCTTACTACCAGCTAAGATCTGGTCTTCGCACTGTAAATAGTCTCTGACCTTATTAAAATTGTCTTTGACCAAGAAAACCCAGAAAACTCAGGGAATATCACCTAGTGAGATCGGGGAAGAAAACTAAAATCTGGAGTGATAAATGCATTAGAGAAGCACTTTTTTTCCTCTAGGAATTATGAGACAGGAGTGACAGGTTCTGGAGAGAGTGATGGAAAGTCTGCTGAAATGTGATGGGGAGTTGCAAGTAAAAGGAAGGTCTATCCGAGTTATGAGTAAAGGTTCATCTATCCCTTCTTGCTTTTGAAATTGGGAGATGACAGAACAAATAAAAAACCTGAAAGTTTATAGTAACTGGAAGGAAACCCACAGAGGTAATCAACAAAGGAAATTCAAATCAGTTTGCTTCTACACTTTTCTGTAAACTGCCAAAAATGTAACTAGAGATACAAGACCAGATAAAAGAAAGCATAGTACCATTTTAAACTGAGCTAAAGCTTCAGAGGGTAAGCAAAGCCAAACCTATTTTAAATTATTCTTTTTGTATCAGGAACAATTCACTGATGAACCTGCTCTTGGTTATACTGATGCTGGTATAACTTTTGTAATCCATTCACCCAAAGAGCTTCCACGCTTTGATGGTTTAGGTTTACTAACACCAGTCGGAATGCATGCACAGGTCGCAATGCGCCAGCTGAAGGTAAGGACTTTGTCGATCAAGTGGAAATATTGGTCTTTACTGTCTCTAATTCTCTTCTGAAGCATGACAATGTATTAGACATTTTGGAAGTTAAAATATTAATCTAGCCAAAGTGACTCCTAAAAATAACATTTCACCTCCAGACACAAACAATCTAAACAGTATTACTGCTGGGGGGAGGCTGAATATCATTAGTAAAAACAGATTATGAAGACCAAAGTCAACCTTTCTTTTCAAACATCTTACAGTCTCACTGATATATAGTGATAAAAGGACACCACAGCAGCTCTCCATCAACACAGTCTGTTACTTTTAATGTTGTCTCGGATTCCTCGTGGAATCCAAGTGGAGTGGACTACCCTTCTGCGCTAGGCTGTCTGATCAGGTCTTACTTTTGCTCATGATGAGAGGAGATGATTTTATAATCCCAAAAGCACACACTGTAATTGCCTCCAACTAAATCATGATGTTACTGCTTCTGTCTTCAACAGGCTTCCTTTATCACTTTAAAATGTGAGAAAATAACGTCTAAATTTAAAACACAGACAAAAAGATTATATCTTCTGTTATTATTACCCTACAGTCAATTATCCAAGAATACCCATGGGGAGAGTGCAAGCCTGACATAAAGCTTCAGTGCCACGTGGCTGTTTGCCATTCATCCTTCCAGGTATTTCTCAGGAATGTCATAATAGCATACACTGTATTTAAGGATCATCCCTCTAGGATGTTATTGAACACTTGCTCATTGAACAGCAAAGGAGATGGGGCACACGCTTGAGGGATAACTACAGCTGGGATTAAGTAAAATTATATGCATTAGATTTTTCGGTTTTTTAATTCAGAAGAAAAAAGCAATATATTTGGTCAGCTCTACCCTTAGCATCTGGTCAATGGCAATTCTTAGGATACAGACCAAAAATCCTGAAATAGAAAAATATGTTTCAAGGCTGTGAGACGTCTGTAGTCTTCAATGTGACTTCCTAAACAGCTGAAACTAAATCCATAAAAAGTTACAGGTTTTCAGATATACTGCAGAAAACCTGCTTTGCAGGTGTTTAGCAGCCACAGCAGAACTCATTGCCTGAAGACAGAAACTGAGCTCCCCTACATGAACCCTGGAAAGAGTTTGGACCAGAAGAGGGCTCTGCAGAAGCCAAAAGGCTGCATAGTGCCATCTAATGAGCCTGAAATGCTGAGCACAGGCGTAAGCTGTAATACTCCCCTTGAGAATCCAGGTATCTTAATCACTCTAAAAATGCAAAGCAGTAACTCTAAGCCCTGACCACTCTAACCCCTCGCACCTTTTCAGCATTAAAAGTAATGATAACACTGTTGTCTCTCTCTGAAGCGAGAGCTGGAACCCAAAGTTCTGCTCTCTCAGTTCTTGTTTCCACAAGCAGTGCGCAAGAAAGCCCCTGTCATGCCTGCACTTTCTGACTCAATGTATTTTTAAATATGCCCAAGAAAAGTACAATGTTTTCACTAGGAGACACCCATTGAGCAATCTCCAGCCTGTTCGTTTAACAACCTTTCGGAAAGGAGGTTGGCAATCTCCTAGAAACTCTTGTGGAGAGGGGTTTGAGATGGAAATTAAGTCTAGGTCTCCCATACCCAGGGTGAGTGCTTTATCCACCGGCAATTAGACAAAGGAGGGCAACTCCTTGCTTGACCATGTGCTAAAAGGCTAAGTAATATTTCCATGCAAGGAAATAAATTGAGGTGTAACTGAGGCCATCTGAAATCTGAAAATTTTCCTGTTAGCTCAGGGTGCTACATCACCCCTCAGATCTCAGAGCAACTCTCGCATGAAGCCCAAAACTTTTGCTGAAGCTTGTGGGGTGTAATCATATATTCCATCTACCTGCTTTGTTTTTTCATTTCCACTAGCAAAACCAGAAATTCCTGGCCTTAGCAAGCTAACATGAAGAGTGAGACACAAGCTTAAAGGCAGCTCTTGCCGGCTCACATAACAAAGAGATTCGCTCCAAGAGCAAGCCTCCCGGCTGCTGTCTCTTTTCACTATGTGCCCCTTTCAGTGTTGGTAACCGCGCTGTGCCCAACTGGCTTGCTTTCTCAGTGGTGTGATGATAAGCATGAAGTGGTGAGCACACTTTGATGATCTTACATTTCAGTTTAGTACAAATAGAGCTATAGCTTAGATTGCTAATTTAAGTTCCTGAAGTTTGTTGTTTATTTTTAAGGAAATGGAACAGAATGTGATTTGCTGAAGTTTTACAATTGTGTTTATCCTGCAGTCTGTAAGTAATAACTTCATATTTTCTAAGCCAATTCCAAATAGTAGACAATATTTATCAATTAAGATACCGAAAGCAGCACTGGAGTACATCCCAGTTCATTTAATATTCTGAAAATAGAGACAAGACAGACCATCAAACAGATGCCAATTAAAAAAAATAAGAATTCATTTTTGTAATCAGAAATCATTCAAAATGGAAGAATGGTAAATTAATCTGTTTTCAGTTATCAAGCTTCTGGCTTGCACTTTTGCATCTTCATGGTATCATCCTTCTAGCTCCAATGTTGTGTTCTTTTTGTTTACGACAGAAGAGTGAACAGCACAGTAATTACAGGTTTGCTAAATGATAGCAAATATAATTCAAAAATCACTGGACTTTAAAGTTTGTTTCAAAAGTAAAGTGGGTCATATGTTTTCAAAGTGCTCCAAATGCAATTTGTTTCCATAAGCATATAATCTGCACACAGTAGATAGGAAATTTGGAAGTTGCTACAAAGACTTTCTGGAAAATACGGCAAACGGTAATCTGAGAAGCAACTTCTCATGAACTTTAGAAAGCTTCCTTTTTAATTGGTTTAGATTCTGCTATGTACCATGACTTTCCCTTTCCAAAGGACCGAGTGACTAAGATATCAAGTAGACTAACAAGTTTTGGGGAGCCTGTGCGGGGGTTTATGTGTGTTTTGATTAGGTGTATGCAACATGCATGCAATATCTATTACTATGAACAATGACTATTTCTTTTTCCTGTGCCTTTTTCAAAATAAATTCCACTAAGTTCACATTCTTATATGGTCATGATCTTTGATAGCCTATCATGGTGGAAATATGCATATTATTTTACTTAATGGATATTCTGTGACCAAGTTTCAAAGAAACCACTGTGCAATAAACAAAAATGACCCCTAAATCCTATCGAGGGTGGACAGGGTTCAGAGCTGGACCCCCGAAGGAACTGGGATCACAGCGCTGTACATGGTGAACCATGTATGATGTCTGGCTTGATGTGTCTGGTCCCCAGGACCCCAAGTTAAGTGCCAAGTCTCCTTTTACAGTGCAGGAGAGTTAGACACCTGATAACAAAGGCTCAAACAACAGCACACTGATTCAGTATCTGCGGGACCTACCATTGGCAAGAGCATTTCTTTTAGGAACTTTAAAGGCTGGCTATCCAGAATGAAATCCACAACCCTAGCATCCCTGGAGGGTGCCTCAAATCATCAATTAACAGGCTGAGATGATCACCTCCCCTGTGGTCTGCAAAAGCGAAAAGCCGATGCGCAGAGGGAACAGACACAACAGCCACCACCACACCAGGGCAAATAGATCATCACAAGCAGGAGGCTATGTCGCTCACCTCAGGGTACCAGATGGCTTTGGGTGATGGTTCACGCTTCAGGAAGTATTTATGCCTTACCATTTTTCTTCTACATGAATTTCCTCCAACTTTCCTAGATCTCTATGATTTCCTTCTGTTTCTCCCCACTTTTGTGAGCAGCCCGACCTGCAGAATTTTGTGACTTCTCTTTGGTATTTGAAGAAACAAAGCCGTCCCTAAACCCTCTTAGCTGTCTATAAATGTAATTATCAAATGGCAGACAGAGGTTAAGGAAAGTGAATTTAGCTTACCAAGATTTTTCTGTAGTTATCAGATGATAGTAAACTAGAATTGGTGTTGCTCTGGAAGCTGTTTCTGTGCATTGAAAGGTGCTAGGCAAGCAGCAAGACCAAAGGTTATACACTTAAGTATGTAATCAGAAAGCTAGCACAGGACATTGAAAGTCTGTTGTGCTACTGTTTAACTACAGATGAGAAATAATAAGCACATAAAGTCCTAATGAAGGCGGAAAGACTTACAGGTGCTGAATTTCTTTGGAAAAAGTGACCAAAAAAAATCTCAATCCATACTGTGCACCACTTTCCCAAATGTCAGTTACAAATACTTATTTGTTCCTTCAAAACTGGTAAGAATCTGACTTTGATAAATATATGGGTTAAAAGCAATTGTGTAAGTTTAAAAAACAGTCTGAAAACCATATGCTTTTTCAGAAACATTGTGCAAACTCTTTCTCCTAAAATTTCAGATGATATAGAGATAAAAGGATTATGTACAGTAGGAACTCACAATTCCACCTGCCCTGCCCCATGTGAAGAAACAGATTATCCTACCACTGTCACATATTCAAGTTTTGGAGGAGAAAAAGCCATAAAATACTTTTCTGCAAACCTGAACAAAAGCCCAGAATACATTAGGTAATCATGTTTAATACCTTGTCTAATAAAGAAACGATCAATTACTTCTAAGTGTGCTAACAGAGTGTAAGATGTAAATGTGACCTTTTAAAAATATACTTTTATGTGTGGTATGAATAATGTTGTCTGTGAGATAAAATAATGTTTTAGACAAAACTGGTTAAGATTTATACATATTTCATATATACATATAAAATACTTAGATATGTCCAAGACTTGTGGGTGTCACGCAATAGATACTACGATTAAAAAGTAATGTTCTCAATTTCCTTCTGTCATTGATCTCTTATAATAAAGTTTTTTGATCTCTTCTGCAATTAAGAATAAAGAAAGGGCAGAGTTATCAAACCTATCCACAATCCACTTAAGCAGTCCATCCAATAGAGAAGACAAACCTTCACCCCTTCACAGCTGAAGTCAATGAACAACCTAAATAGATACTATATAAAGTTGTTCTCCTTTCTCTCAACCCATTCCCTAAGGAAGCTTCATAGCACTTAAGAGCTAGGTTTTATTGTAGCCGTAATGCCACAAGTTTATTAATCTTTATTGTTGTTAGTAGAATTCACTAATATTGTTTACATTATAAAAGTTATTTAGAACATATTTGTTACCATATTAATTCTCATGAGGTAGTAGAAGAATGAAATAGCACGGCTCCCTCTGTGTGACTGAAAAGACTACACAGAAAAAGTAAGTAGGTCTATGCCCAAAGAGGGGGCCTTCTAGTGTGAACATGTCTCAACAGTATTGACTACACATTTTATCCAGGAAATAGTGTTAGAACTTATGTTATGCGTAGAGCTGTGTCACTCAGTAGTAGTGCTGAACTGACATAATCTGCATACTTTTAAATTTATAGAAGAGGTATCACATATGCTTGTGTGTTAATAGAGCACATGTCTTACTGTTGAAATTTAATAATAAATTGATGCCAGATTTCCTTGCAAACACAAGCTTTATATATCCAAACCCAGAATTATTTACAGATTTTTTTGCTGGAAGGATAGAGTCTAGTTGTCAAAGAGCATTTAATACAGTGTCATAGACTGAATCACTCACAGATGTAGATGTTAGCAATACAAATAACTATTAAGACAGGTGTTACATGAACTCATAGTATCCACAACTTCAAAATGTTTATAAAGAACTGTAGAAAATTTGGCTAATGAAATATCTGTGAGTATTTCATTGTTTCAGTGACATCAGTTTTCTCACTCTTGAAGCCATCAGTCTGCAAATGAGCAGGAACTGCACAAATCACAGAATAGTTGGAGTTGGAAGGGACCTTTCAAGGCCATCTAATCCAACTCCCCTGCAGTTAGCAGGGATGTCTTCAACTAGACCAGACTGTTCAGAGCCCCATCCAACCTTATCTGGACTGTTTCTAGGGATGGGGCATCTACCACCTCTCTGGACAACCCACTCCAGTGTTTCACCACCCTCACCATAAAAAAATTTCTTTCTTATATCTAGTCTGAATATACCCTCTTTTAATTTAAAACCATTACACCTTGTCCTACAGCTACAGGCCCTATTAAAAAGTCTGTCCCCAATGAAGATTATGAAAATTAAACCTGTCATTATATGCAAAAGACATTAATGCTTTAAGGATGTTTTATCTTTGTTGATTATTTTATTGTCTGTAAATGTCATGCGCAACCCAGCAATTATTCAATTAAGCAAGTGAAAATACAGAACATTCCCCTGTTACCAAGCCTTACCCAATAGGAATCCTTCCCACGTATTAATGAGTACATATTCTGAACTATAAAATGTAGAGATCTACTGATTTCTGAAGATGTAAGAAGGGAAAAGTTAAATATTTATTGGATAGTTCTGCTAGCAACTCCATGACAATGGTAGGAAGTCTTATTAACAGAAGCCATGAGAAGATTTTTTTTATTACTCGGTGCTACCTGAATTTTAGAATTCTAACCTAAAGAGATAGAAGTGATCATTTTGTACATCAAATACTTTATTTTCAGTGAATATTCTTAAACAGCTCATTATCATTGTCAAGCAAAAAAATCTGTAACTGTTCAAAGTTCTGAAGAATAATTACTACTTTTATTTTTAAAGGTCACAACATTACGTGTGCCATCATTTTTTGTGTCTGTTTTATTCCATAACTGTTATGTTTATATTCTATCTAGGAGTTAAGCAGAATCCTTCTGTAGACACAGTATCATAAAGATCAGCTCTTTATTCACACTGAGTCATTCCACAGGTCTTGCTCCAACTGCGATTTACCTACTCTTCCACTATGCAGCAGGCATAAATATAATTAGGTAAGCAGAGGATAGAACTAAATACCTGAGTACAGGACAAGGGCTCTTCTGCAGAAACATGTTCATTGAAGTACACACAATTAAATACGCAGTTGCACATAAATAAGAGTGGTAGACTACACCTCCGAGCACGGTAACCACTGTAGGTCAGGATGCTCGACACTTCTGCTCACTCTTATCTCTGCGATCCTTAAGAAGTACGAGTCAGTCTCACAGACAGACCTAGAGTTACTTTTCCAACATAGCCTGAAGATCTACTCCTCTGATAAGCTCCCGTTATAACTGTTGTTATTAGGAAACTTCTTTATTTTTTTTATGTTGGTCACCTAACTCATTTTGGTAACTGTCATGTGGCTGTTCTTTAAAAGACACCATCACTCTCTCTGAACTCAGTCCATGTTGACAGATGTTGGTAAAAAATGAACAGCACTCCTAATTGTCTCAAGTAATACTGTATGTATTTGTCATTAGGCAGAACCTTGTGTGTATTGACATTAAATATCATGATCTGAGCTACAAAATAACACAGCAGCAGAAGGCCTTGACTATATCTGAGTTGCTTGGTATGTGAAAGTTTAATATTTATTTGTTGCTGATTTTTAATTAAAAATTATTAACAGGTTTGTTACTCTCCCCCCTCCTGAGTCATAGGCCATGTGGGCTTCTAAAGAAAAAGCAACCCCTTTTACATTATAATGGTATTAATCATGTCTGCCTCATGCTCATTTTTGATACTATCTCCTGCCATCCCATTAAACAACCTGCAGTATGGACAGCAGCTGAGAGTAAGAATTAAGTTTGGCACTAGTTTATGGCTATATCACACGCAGGATTGCAAGAACAGTGAAGTTCACAGGATTTGAAGGGGAGAGGGAGATTTTGGGAAGGAGAAGCAAGAGAACAGTTAGAAAGGCATAGAATTAGGAAGTATTTTAAGTATCTGTTTCACAGTAGGATGTGTTGTGTTGTACTTGCTTTGCTTAGAATTTTAAGAAACACATTAGTCTTCTCCAATAAACATTCTTAAGAATATTAATTCTGTTTTCTTAAAGTGATAGATTGTGTATAATGAATGTATTTAACACTTGAATCCGGCAGAACTTTGTTTGCTTGCTAGACTAAACCAAATGCTTAGGATGACATATGTTTATTTCCTTCTATTACAGCTGATGTAGGTGGCCAGCTTGGATTGTTTTGTGGCGCCAGTATGATTACAATCATAGAACTGCTGGAGTATGTTTTTACTAACTTCTGTTGGATGTGCATCTTTCTTCTATTGAAAGCTCCTGAAATGCCTCAATGGAATAATCCATCCCAGAACCAGCCAAAACACAAGGACAAAAAGATGGGAATACAAGAATGTTAGTGGCTTGCAGAAGCACAAAACTAACTGTTTCTGCAACTTCCCTTCTTTTTTAAGGGATAAAAAGGAGACCATAATATTTTGCATGGAACCCTTCCCTGCACTCCTTATTCTTCCTGCTTCTTTTATTGCCTAGAGCTATTTAACTGTGCTAGATATCTCCAAAGAGTGAGCTTTGGAAAGTCTCACTTTCTTCCTCATCTATAGAAAAATATAATATTTGCCTAAAGTTTTATTTCAAGAATTACCAATGTTTTTCAAGTAACATAGCAAGAGATACTGTCATACAACGCAATTTAGTATTTCTGACCCAGTTTTTATATTTTGTATTTTGAGTGAAGAGAAATAATAGGCATGCCAAATTAACGCACGCGCCAAGTTTCTTAACCATCATAAAGGTGGAGCATCGCCACGCTGAAAAAGCAGATTCCTTATTAATGACAAAGTCTTTGCTAGTAGGTTACTATGATTACATGTTCCAGTGAAGGATATCATAGCTTTCTTGTCAGAATCAGGAGTGTGCCTAATAACATTAACTTCTACAGTGTATTATCTGTTTGTCTGAAACACATAAAAAAATAAATCTCAGGAGCCTGCCAACTACTCTACATACAAATCATAGGGAATTCGAGTGGATGGCAAGCGGGCAAACATAGGCCAAGTTCAACGGTTAATGTCATGAAAGCTGATAATAAAGACTAAGGGCTTCATCTAAGTCTTACTAAAAATCAGTGAGAGCAAGAATTTTGTGGCTTTGGTGCTGAATCAGGCTTCCTGAAAATTTAATCATTTGAAATTGTTCAGAAAAGCTTCTCTGGCTTCCTGTGTCCATGTGGGCCGATGGAGCAGTAGCAGTTTAGAGGCTTATGTTTATAAAGAAGAATTTGGTTATTAATTAACTGCCAAAGATGTGCAATAACGTAAATAGACACTCCCCTCCCCCACACACACTAAAGCTCATAGAACAAGAAGCGTGCACTGGGGCGTTTATTTGATCTTTTTTCTTTATACGTACAATATCTTAGCAAACAGCATAGCCATTTAAAAATATCACAGTTAATATTTTCACTTTATACAGTATCTTTAGTACATTTCTTTCTCTAATAGGTCTCTGAATACAGTTCTGAAAAAATCCACACTTGCCAGAGTCTATCAGAGTTTCTATCAATCAGAGTTTTTGATGCATTTGGAGGTGCCAAACAGAGCCTGGATAGAAACCCTTTAGGAGAGGTAGACACAAAATCTTGGACAAGATGCACCAAAGACTAAATTTAAGACTACAGGACAAAGGATTATCCCAATTTGAAGCTGACTGCTATTCAATTAACTATACATAACAACAGTAGATAACTCTTTATTTGAGAACTTACAGACAGTTGTCTCGACCTCAGACTAGCACTGTACAGACTGTGCTAATCAAAACATTTTTACATTAGAAAGCTCACAAAGGCTACAACATTACACCTTCTGAACCACCGCTCCCCAGCCGGTGCTGGGGCCCTGCAACCCTCAGTCAGCCCAGGAGCATGCCTCTGTACTCTTAAGTAACATAAACGTTGCGCCTGAGACTCCAGGTAAGCCATTAGCCATAGCCACCCTCTATAATTCACACTATTCTTCCACACCATCCACTCCAATTCAGCAACTAATAATGAACTAGTTTCTACAAAGAAAGTAGTAAGTGTGCTGACTAAACAGGCAAGTCCTTAAGGTTAGATATCAAGTAGTGAAAACGCTACCATTTGGCCATCATTGGCAACTGTTTCCCTCCAACGTGAGCCCTAAGATAAGCGATTTAGGAAATATAGAAATGTTTTTGCTTCCTAGGAAGAAATGCCTTGATTTTACTCCTCAGTAACTGCAGGCTTGAGAGACCTTAACGTTAACTTAAAGATTTTTGCTCCACTTCTTTTTATTGGTCATTTCTGCTGGGATTTCCCCCCCTCCCTCTTACTAAGCGTACACACACATTTGCAACAGCAGCCATACAAAAAGGTCTCTCTAACCCCGCTGTCTGAGGTGCGTATTGGCCAATGCAGCGGAAGAACGGAAAGAACAGAGCAAACATACTGCAATATTTCTCTGAAGATTTCTCCCAGCCTCGAACAGTTTGTAGCTGTGGAACCCCTGAGCCAGAAGAAATTACATTTTTGGAAGTGGGAATCAGGTATTATCTGGCTTTTGGATAAAAAGAAAAGCAGGGGAAAGATTAAATACAGTGATCTAATACACCTCGTATTTCAGAGATCAAAGGGGTTTGTAGCTATCAATCACAATGATTTTTTTTGTTTGCTTCTACTAATAAGGGCTAAATAACAGCAAACTGGTATTGTAAGGATTAAACAAAAGAACACTGGTATTCTTTCTACTGTGCCAAATGCAGTGGAGCACAGAACGTGCTAAAGAATCGGCAAAAAAAGCCAGTTCTCAAAACAGAAGGTTAAATTAAGCAAAGATGCAAGTACAGGACTAAAAAGACTTTTGCTTACTCCACTGACTTCGGACAAGGACAGCTGAAATCACTGCTTGGTTACAGATTCTTCCAACATACGTGGCAGAAGGAGCTCTGAAGAAAGCACAAAAACTGATGTTCTGCCCAAGGCCAAGCGATAGCCTGAGACTTTTTTTTTCAGCAATG